CCAAAATCAAATTAACAAATAGTTTGACCTAATCAAAGACAAAAATGCATGAAAAACAAACACAATACACACTTGCACCCCTAGGATTACAATCCACTTGTTGCCTTCAAAAATGGGCCATGGTATGCATGTTAAGTATTTTGGCAAAACAAAAACAAAACAAAAGATCATAGTCCCTCGATGACGCTATCTGAGTTGCCTAAACAAAATGATCAAGTCCCTCAAGAAAATTGCCAAAAATATTTGACACAATTGCTATCATGGTCTATACGATGACCCGCGCCTGTCTCGTTTAACATCCTAACACAAGGTTGGTCACCAAATACAATGGTGAAACAACACTGTTAAAAGGGTTAAAAACATAAGAAATATCCTTGAGTAAAATAGGATAGATATCTCTTAGTTACTTGATCAAAATCTTGCAAAACATCCTTGCTATTTTCAAAACACACTTCACAACACAATTTCAAAACCCTACTTTCAAACATTGAAAACTTTTCAAAAGACAAAAAAACACCTTTGTATACATTCAAACAAGAATCATTACAAAGGTTGCCACAACTATGGCCTCTTCTCAAAACATCTTTCAAAACCATACATAAAGCACCATTTCAAACAATTGAAGAGCACCATTTCAAACAATTGAAAAGCAAAGCAAGTGATTTAAACAAGTAACTAAGAGCCCATGGATAATCATGGATGAAAAGGGTTCTAATACCTTCCCTTTTCATAATATACTCCCCGAACCCAAGAAAACATCTCAAAGGTCTTTCCTGTGCTTTTTGACCTTTCCTTAAGATAAAATAAAAAAAAGTCGGTGGTGACTCTTGCTAAACCGAAACATTTGCGAACACAAACGCAAAACCTCAAGTCAGTTCTCCCAGCGTATCACACCTACTATTCGTACCCATGGGAACATTGTACGCTATATCCTTATAATCTTTCAACTTGCGTTGTTTACCTCCTAGGTTATGGTAAATACACAAAAAAAACTACAATCTCTTTTCTAGGTATTGTCGAGTTATCCGCGTCGTCATATCTAGGTCAAACTTACCCTTCATTCATATCTTTTTATTTAAACTCTGGTAGGATGATACATCATCACCCTTGCCTATCTCTTTGAGCTCTAGGGTATGCTATATCAGTGTATCCTTGTTTAAAAAAATCTTTGGTCAAATTTTGGGGTCTTCCATTATTTAATAACCCTCCAATTTGAACGTGCGAGACCTGCATATTCTCGCACCATTCAATCGAAGAGTGATTAAATAGAAGCAAATGTCATACCCCAAATTTTGCCAGGAGGTAATTGAACCCATGGCTAGACTCTTGTACCAGTCCATCGTAGCTTTCCTCAAAGTTGTGGGGAACAACTGGCATTTGATTGGTCCCCCGACATTGTGATAATGCAGCATGGCCTCAAACCCGTCTATATGGTCGACCGGGTCGGCGTGCCGTCGTATTCCTTCAGGTGGGGAGGCTTCTCCATGCCGGGGGGATGGGTGCCTCCATAATGGCTTGTGACAAGGGACCGCGGGGGCCGTCTTCGTCACTCCTGTCGGGCGATCAAGAAGGGGACCTGATGTAGTGGTGGTCATGGTGGCCCTAGTCGCGCAGAGCGTTCCTTGGGCGGTATGGTCGTTTGTTGTTTCCCCCATTCCTGTCTCCAGAGGGTCTTCGTTCTTGACGGGAGGAGGCGCGATTGCGTCTCCCCGTGTTAACTGGCTGGTCCCTTTCTAATGCAGGGTGTCGCCCGATTGGTCGGGGAGAAGGACTTTGAGAGATGTCCCGATTACGTCTCTACGAGGGAGATCAGGGACGCTCCTCTTCTTGGCGATGAGGGGGAGACTAGGGCCTCCTGTGTATTCTGAGGGCTCTCTGAGCATCTTCTAGAGCCCTCAATCTCTCTCCTTGAGAAAAGATTAGGTAGTTGGTCTGGTTTATCGCCGGGAACAGTTCCTTGGTCGTGGCGTCTGCTCTGGCGGGAACGGGGACCTCATGGAACTGAATGGATTGGTAATTCTAGGGAGGTGGCTGATCGTCTTCGAGTTGTGGAGGTATTGATGATGATGATGCAGTTGCTCTGTCTCTATAGTCAGAAGGCGCGAGCATATTAATGGCGGGGGCCGTGTTGTGGCCGGCGGTACCAGCATTGTCGAGGCTGACATTATTGTCAGTGATGTTGTTGTTGACGTCGATGATAAGGACGTTCGTGTTTTCTGCAGCCTGATCAGCCATGATAGTCAGGGTGGTTTAGCTTGGGTCTCGAGTAAACGGAAGACGAGGAAGCAAGATTCCCACAGACGGTGCCACTGATCTTACCGGATCAGAATGGACTGTCACAACTGGCTCAGACAGAAATTGAATGAGATGGGGGGGGGGAGTACCTGCAAGACACTCCGATGGCAAAGTCAGTTGCGGAATGAGCAAGCAAGCGTAAGAGTTAGAAATTGTTGAATACCTGACCCTCTTAAGAGAGAGGGTATTTATAGCCCCTAATGCTGGGCCAAGGTTCCCATTATTGGTCCACGATGAGGCGCAACAACGGAAATTGCCAGGGCTTACGTGTGTATGGAGTCCAACAAGTGGACTCCCCCCTGGTCAAATGCTCCGCGAGAATAGGGGTTGGTTCTGTTATTCTCAGAGGGCAGTTAAGATGACTGACATGAGGACGTGGGTCACGTTCCCCAACGGATATATGGAGAGTTATCCTACGGTCCCTAACTTGAGTTGTCTGTTTGGGCCTCATGCAAAGGTATTGATTTGGGCTTCCTATCCAAGGGGAAAGTGTAGGTCCAATCTAGATCACAAGCATTTCTAGAACTTTATTAGTAAATAAAAGTTGTAGATCTCATAAATATCTACAACTTTCATGTTGAAAGTTTTCTTTGAATCATCTTGCATCTTGGTGAAAATTTGGTATGAAGTCATGAAAAAATAAGGCTTAAAACACTTAGAAAAATTTCTAAGGCTTAAAAACTTTGACTTTTTTGAAAGAATTTTGACTTTCTTGATTTCTTGATGATCAAGCTTCATATTTTTACATGTCTTAATGAATTATGATCTTTGAAACTCAATCTTGACCAAAAAAATCAAAGTTTGACTTTTTGGTGTACAATTGACTTTTTCATCGGTTGATCAAATTTCAACTATCAATCAATTGATCTTGAGAAGTGAATTGAGATATTAAATTAGGTCAAAATGATGCATTTGAATCCTTGAGATTATGTTTCAAACCAATAAGTCATGTATTAGGTCAAAAGTCAAAGATTAGCCATTCTTGGTCAAAACCCTAATTTTGACCATCTTGCCCTTTTGGTGATTTGAATTATTTTTTTGGGGAATTGTGATCCAAACTTGATCAATTGATACATATGACTTCAAAATGTTGATATTGATCCAAAATCTTAAAGTTTGACTGTAGGTTGACCATAATTGATTTTTTTACCCAATACAACTGATTTTAGGTCATATGATCAATTGACTAAGCAATTTTGTGATCCAAGACTTGAAACTTGACATGAGAAATCTTGAGGGTCCCTAATGATCCATGAAAGTCATTTGAGACATTGAAAGTTCAATTGTCCTTTTGAAAACTCAAACCCTAATTTGAGGCATCAGTGTTGAGGAGATGACTTGACCTAATCAATTCTTGTGCAAGCTTGAGTTATTTGAAGATCTTGTGAGAAATGTCTTGAGTAAAGAGAGGGTAAATTTTAGAGTACAACAAAGATCATATATTTTTTCGTTGTGAATATTATAGTAAACTCTGGTTGTTATTGTCTGGGTGGTTAAAGATTGAGTCGGTTTTTCAGGAAAATTGTAAGGATCATTATGACCGATTTGTGTCTTTGGGTGGTTGGAGAAAGTAACATTTTTTGTTTTTATATTATTTGAATAACTGTTGTCTGGTTAATTTGGAAATCAAAGAATTAGCGGGTTTTTTTAGAATAAGAATCTAGCTTTAATGAATATATGTGAGAAGGTTAAAGTCCACACTTTCTGGTGGTTGAGGGCTCACGTGTGAGTTTTTGAGGGTGAGATTAGATTTATAGAAATAATTCACTTCAGTGCATTCTAGACACTAAAGACTAATTTAGATTTTTGATTGTCCTTTTGTGTCTTGTCTTATTGTATCTTTTGTTGAAACAACCCTTTTAATACTTTTTGTGCTTAAATGATTCTTATGTGAATAATACAAGTTTAGTTTCTTAAAAAAAAAAAATATAAATAAAAGAACAAAAGATACAACCAAATGAGAGGGGATTAGATCAAGACCTTGTAATTAAGAACGGGTTATCACATAAAATATAAAGTGTATATATAGTGAACAAGAGTTGGAGGATATGGGTCTATTATTTTAAATTTTAAATGTGAGTTATTTTGATTAAAAAAAATTAAAATTCCAACTTAGGGAAAAATCCATAGCAAAATGCGTGGGTTTGTTATTTCGCTCGCTTTTTATTTAATTTTTTTATCAAAATAAAAATCCATATCTCTCTTCGGTAAAACGAAACCCTAATTCTGTTCCGCATTCGCAATCCTCTGTTACTTCAGTTCCCGCTCTGATCGATTGCCGCTCCAATCTTTCACTTCTGGATTTCTGCAGCTGAATACATTCTTCTGAGACTAACATTTCCATCCTTGGCGCTGTTTCTGGCCTCAAAGGTAGCCTTGTGTGCTTTATTTATGAATATTTTATGAGTTGAGTTATATGTTTAATTTTATATTAAATATATGTTGATAATTATCATCTGAAATTTGTCCGAAAATGATCAAATAGAGCAGTCATTCCGCTATAGGCTATCTCACTATCCCACTTTTGGGGTCAGCCGCTATCTGGAAATGACTACTCTGTGATTAACTTTAACCAAAGTTAATATGTGTCTTTTTAAATGGGATGTGCCATGCCGTGTATAAATTAAGTGAGATATGTATTGTTGAATCATGTTTTATGCATGAAAAACTAATTATCGAACAGTATTTTTGCAGCTGATCTGAATATGGAAAGGCCGGCACATCGGGCGTGGATGTATAATAGGCGTACTGTTGGTCGAAAAGGATTTACACCTGAATTTTTGCAAGGCCTCAAGGAGTTTCTGAGTTTCACTTGTCAACAACCACAATATTTGAATGAGGGTTTAATAAGTTGTCCATGTAAGCTATGTAAAAATGAGAGGCGCCTAACTCCGAAGGGAGTGAATGCTCATCTTCGTCAGAAAGGGTTTACACCTGGTTATTGGTTTTGGACATCCCATGGAGAAGAAGTCCCTCAAATGAACGTTGATGTTGATATGGACTCAAACGCATTTCCTTATAGTAGTCAAGAAGATATTGGGTTTGATGATGCTGATCTTAATGACCAAAATTTTGTACAAAATGAAGAGGTGCCTCCAAATGCAGAAGCAACTGAAATGTATGATGTGTTGAATTCAACTCATCAACCTTTGCCGCCAGGGTACAAAATTACATCAAACTTGTCTGCTGCTGTCACAATGTTGAATTTACAATCTAAATACAACATGTCACAAGATTGTTTCAATGACGTGTTAAGGTTAATGTGGGAGTCAAACCACAATGGGAATGTAATTCCTTCAAATTCTAGGGATACAGAAAGAACAATGCAACCTGCTAAAATGTCGAGAAAAAAGAAACGTGCAGAAACCGATGCTCCCTTGACAACTCCTTCAAAGTCTGGCAATACAAAGGAAATTCTGCAGCCAACTAAAAGGTTAAGAAAAAAGAAATCTGCAGAAACCCGTGATCCGTTGGCAATTCCATCTGATAACCTTCAAACTTTTTCTAACCAAGCCACTCAACCTCCATCTCGAACTAAACCTCGAACTAAACTTAAACGACTTCCACCCACTAAACCACTAAACCTTCATACGCAACCCCAACCCACTCAATCACATCCTCAACTTCGTCTGCGACCCCAACCCACTCAACCTCAACTTCGCCCGCGACCCCAGCCCACTCCACCTCCTCAACCTCAACTCCGCATGCAACCTCAACCAACTCCACCCACTCAACCTCAACTCCACACGCAACCTCGACCCACTCCACCTCGACCTCAACCTCAATCCCCAACAACTCGGTCTGAATCTCACCCTGTCACATCTCAAACCATTCCAACCCAAGTTCTTCAATGGCAAGAATTTTCAGTAGACAACTTGAATCAGAACAAAATCCCTATACTTCCAGAAGGAGATGGGTGAGTCCTTTTAACAGCTTAACATATATGAGTCGTTATTATAAGTTTTTATAATTAGTTTTTATTGTTTTACACAGGTTTGATCAACACAACTTGGTAGTGAAGGCAATTGGTTCAATCATACGTACTTACTTGGCTGAGGGAATACCATCGTGGAAGCAGATATCTAAAAAGCAACGAGATTCGTGGTTTGATATATTTAAAGTAATCAAATTTCAATCGTTCATTAAATTGTTTTGATATTAGTTAAAAAATGTGTATTGTAATAATTTTTGTTTGTAAAAATCAATGTAGTCAATGTTTACATGGCCACCTGAACATAAAGACCTGGTGCGACGTAACTTTGAGAAAAGGGGTTCAGCTAAAATGGTTCAATTAATGCAAGATGCTCGAAGAAAATTAGATCACAAACCAAGTTGGATGGAAGAGTGTGTGTGGACACAGTTGAAGGCACATTGGGAGTCCTCAAAATACAAGAGAATATCTGAAATAAATAAAAGAAATTCTGAGTGTATGGCTGATGCATCACTTCACACTGGTGGTTCAATTCCTCATCGATTGCATTGGAAGCGAATGGTATCATTCATTAGTTTACTATTATGTTTTGTATTTTAGTTTTAAATACTAATAATTTTAATAATAACTTTAAAAAATATTTCTATCAATTACAGAAGGAGGCAAATGGGACTGATCCATCCATGGCTGAATTTTATTTTCGAACACATAGAAAAAAGGATCAAAGTTGGGTGGGTCCATCTGCAGAGTCTGCTTATGTAAGTTCATTCTTTTTTCTAATACAGACATATTTGCATTTTCTTTATACTAGCTCTATTCTGGTACACATGCATATGGCTTATTGTCATCTTTGATTACTGTATTCAAATGTGATGCAGAAGAAATTTGAACAAAGAAAATTGGAATTATCTTCCAAGTTTGATTCAGGAGAGAATAGTGGCGATAATCAACAATCCATAGAAATGCCGTCTGACTTGGATATATGGGTAGATTCAATTGGACATAAAAAAGGAAGGGTTTTTGGTCTCGGATCTGTTAACAAAACATTGGTTCCATCTGTTAGGCCTCCTGGAAATTCAGGAGATGTCAATGCTTTAAGAAGTCAGGTTCATGCACTTAACGAGTCGTTGCATAAACAGGAACAAGAGAAACTGGAAATGAAACAAGAGTTGACCGAGACTAGAAAACAATTAGCGGCTTTAATGGAGCATCTAGGATTTGCTGGCTCTTCTTCTCGGCCATTTTCATCACCTCAAAACAGCAATGGTATTGATAATGGTGATGATTATACTGATGAAGGTGATGATATGGAGTAGAACTGCATCTGTGTTTTTAGGACTTAAGTTAGTTAATTTTTTGCATAAGTTTTTTTGGGCTTGAGTTAGTATAACCTTTTGCTACAAAAATATATGTCCTGTGCATTTCTCGGATGCTTTGCTGGGTAAGGCAAAAATACCTGCCAATTTACTTGTGAATTTTTTTGTGAATTCGCCTTCAAAATGGCTTGTAAAATCCTATTAATCAGTTTAATTAATTTCTCTATGGCTTAGGCCATTTTCTAATTGTAACTTTAATTAATTGATTTCTTATGTCATGTTTGATTAATTTCTCTCTGACTTACCTGTTAATGTCTTTTCACCTAAGTATGCATTTTTACTTTATTAAATGATTTCTTAAATTCTACTAATAAGTTAATCAAACACTTTCTTAGCTAATTAATATATCTGAACTCATGAATAAGTTATTTTTAACATGATTACTTTACTAGTTGTAGCCACTTAGACAATTTGCCTATATGATTAGATCGATTTCCACAACCATTCTAGTTAAACTTGACACTCCCTCGTATTTACTTAATACAAAAAAATATCCCTCATTTTTCGTTAAGTACATGCAAATTTTTCTTCGAATAATCTGGTGTGTCAAAATTGATCAGATTTTTTTAAAATCTCCTGTTGAAAAAGTTTTTTTTTACCATTTTTAAAAAAAAATTTAATAATGCAGAAAATTCATAATTCAAAATGTGAAAAAATATTGTAGGTAATTGATTTCCGCATCGATAAAAGTGTATAAAATTAAGAATTTAGTTAAAATATATTAAAAATGTAAAAATATTTTATATTGTCAATTGTAATTATCAAATTTTAAATTATATGATTTTTATTTTAATTATATCTAAAATATAACTATGAATGATTTTAATAAATTGAATGTGTAAAGTTTTTGCACTAACAGTGAATAATAATTAATCTCTAAAGTTAATCACCAAACTTTAAAAAATACATCAAATGCGTATAATTCAAAATACACAGAAAAGTTTGTATGCATTATATTTCCCCAGCAAATTTCGCAGGTAAATAATCAAACATGCATATAATTCAAAATACACAGAAAAGTTTGTATGCATTATATTTCCCCAGCAAATTTCGCAGGTAAATAATCAAACATTTAAAATATTATAAAAATACCATTTTTACTAGATTTTTGTAAAAAATTCCAGCACCTCACATACGTTATCAGATATTTTGAAAAAACGGTACAAATGCCTAAAATTAAGCATTGAATTTTTATAAATCTCAAAAAAATGCATAAATTTCATATAATCGAAAATGGCACAAAAATATATATCTAACGTATTTCTGCAGTAAATTTCACAAGAAATTTGCAGATAAAAATCTAAAATATAATTTTTTTTGTTTTATCGGATTTTTTTATTTAAAATCTGGAACCCCATATAAAATATCAAGTAGTTTAAAAAATTCGATAAGTTCTTTAAATCAAAGAATTTATGGTCAAAGAAATCTAAACATTTCTTTTTCCTCCCACCCTCAATTGAGGGGTAGTGGTGGTTCCCGGTTTTTCTAACTAATTTGGGACTCTTCCTCCCTCTACATGGTGGTTTTTCTTCCATCTTGTATTGGTTTTCTCCATCTTTGTGGTGATTGTTTTTTTTTTAGTCTTCTCATCTTCGCCCAATGAATCTTAGCACAGTAATCTAACTAATTTAAATGGTGAAATGAAATGAAGTTCAAAATAAGATTTTCTATCATGAAGGATGAGCTCATTGAGAATGACCTTTGATGGGGAAAGTAAGCATCATTTTCATTTTAAGGACTGGCTTGGAATTCGGTTAAGGGACTGCGAGTGTAATTTTATCTAAAAAGCTGTTATATTTTGAAGGGATTCTCCGAACATTGAGATGGACGAGCACAATTTCACGGTGAATAGAGAAAGAGTTGTTGATTACTTGAACTCTTTGGATAAGGTCATATTTCTCGCTTATGGACTAAAAATGTAACTGAGATTGAATATGAAAATGGAGAGAATTCTAAGAGAATGATATAATCGAATTTGCAGGTTTTTGTGAATGATTAATTCTTGAACTAGGACCTAGAAAACAAAATCAAAGTCAGGATAGTCTCTACTAGATCTTATCATTCACTTTTTATGCACAATATGTAAGTTATAACTTATTCGAACTGAGATTTAAGTGGGTGTATATACTGGAAGATGCATTCGACCAACTCCTAAAGAACTTGAGGATTTTGGAACACCGGATTTTACTATTTACAATGCAGGATAGATTCCGTTTAATCATTATACACATTACTTGACATCTTCAACGAGCATTGATATTAATCTTGCAAGAAAAGAAATAGTAATTCTTGGGACACAATATGCCGGTGAAATGAAAAAGGATATTTTTAGTCTCATCTCTTTTTTGGATTCTCAGGTATATATATATATACATTCTACAATCGCAATTACGGTCGCATACTACACTTTAAAATTGTATATTAAATAACAATTATTTGACATATATCACATACTATATCATACTAATAAATATTCCATCTGTCTCATAATAAGTGTCGTCTTTCCTATTCTTATTTATCTCAAATTATTTGTCTTTTTAGAATACCAATGTGATATTTATTATTTCTTTCCTCTAATTTACTTTTATTTATTGTATTTTAATTCATATAACTACTCCACTACCTATTATGAATAATTTAGTAAATGATATTCATTTTATCATTGAAATCAATATAATTAATTATTATCTTAAAAAGTGTGAAAATTTAAAGACAGAAGGGAGTAACACATTGTTTTATAACCCTTAAGAACATTATCGTAGTTAAATGAAAGAGTTATAATGATTTTTTTAACCTTTTCTTTTTCTTTTCACCGTCTATACTAGGAATTTGAAAAACCACTCTTTTAATTATCACAACAGATATTAAAGTTTTACCACATACCACTAAACTTATTCCCATATCCCTACATTTATCCCAACACCCTTACGTTTTATGAAAATGCCAATTTTACCCTTGTATCATCAGAAGATAAGTTGGATATTCTGACACATCTTCAACTTGAAGCATTCCGGTTAAATAGGATATTGTTGTGTCTTTATGTATCTCATTAATTTGATTCTTATATATGCAGATCATAACTGAAGGTGGATGGCACATACGAGGGTATAAAAGAGCCACAAGCAACGTTTTCGGCTTGTTTTGGTGCAACATTTATAATGCTACATCCTACAAATATGCAGTCATGCTTGCTGAAAAAAGGCAAAACTATGGTGCAACTGTATGGCTTGTTAACACTGGTCGGTCTGGTGGAAGGTATGCTTTCAGTTATAAATGTGATTATTATTAAAATGTTGATTTTTTATATTCTTTATATAAAGTTAACATGGTTTATGCTTTTGTCAAAATTCAGCCATGGTCCTATTTAGAGCCATTCTTTAAATAAGATTGTTTATAAATAGGGCAAAAACTTAATCTAGCCTGATGGTAACTGATTATATACATTCAAAATAAAATATTGTTCATTGAACATACTTTTAAGCCTTATGCACAAGTTCATCATTTATGAAGGGACACAAAGATCACATTAGGCAGTAGCTTTCTAGTTCTTCCGATGACACGTTCAGATCTAACGCAAAAATGATCCTTTAATGTAACAAAGTGGAATATTTTAAGAGTTCTTTGTTTGACTGGCAGTAATGTAACAAACCAATCATTCATTATTGGAAAGATAATTTAGTTAATTTCTACAATTCCTAATGTTTATCCTTTAATAGGGCCTTTTGACATTTTCAATATTTAATATAAATATGTTATCCTAGGCTATCAATATTGTACCCTACTTTATCTCCTCTATTTTGATATACAACAATAGTCTTCTTGTTATCATTCTTTGTTCATTCTTCTTCTCCCACTTCATTACCTTGCACCAACAAATTGGGTTGTGACACATAAACTTCTTCCTGTAATAGACTGTTCAGAAATGTGAGATGGAATATGGCGTTTATGTGCAACACTCTGATAACAATATGATTCTGGTGTGTCTTTATGTTGATGACATTTTGCTAACAGGAAGCTGCCTAGAAGATATAAAGAAGTTCTGATGAATGAATTCGAGATGACATATCTAGGAAATATGACATATTTCCTAGGGATGGATATTCTATACTCAAAGAAGGGTATCATTCTACATCATTTGAAGTACGAACTTTAACTTCTGAAGAGATTTAAGCTGCAGAATTGTAAAGTTGTTGTGACACCATCAGAAACCAATCAAAAATTGGATTCTGACTCTGATGGTGATTCTGTTGATACTACAACCTTCAAATAGTTGGTTGGTTCTCTAAGGTATTTATGCAATACTAAATCTGACATTTATTATACAATTGGATTGGTTAGAAGATTCACGAGTAATCCAAGGTGGTCTCATTTCCAAGCTGCTGTCAGAATTCTAAGATATATCAAGGGAACTCTGAAATATGGAGTGATGTTTCCTTCTGAAAGTAAGACAAAACCAAAATTAGTAAGTTATTCTGATTCTGACTGGTGTGGAGACAGAGCGGACAGGAGAAGTACTTCTGGATACTTGTTTAAATTTCTGAGAGGTCTCATTTCCTGGAGTTCCAAGAAACAATATGTCGTGGCTCTTTCAACATGTGAAGCTGAGTATATCGCAGGTGTTGTAGCTGCTTTTCAAGTTGCTTGGCTTCTGAATCTCTTGCATAATCTGAAGGTTAAAGTTGAGGAACCTCTAAAGCTAATGATTGATAATAAGTTTGTAATTGATCTTGCCAAGAATCTAGTGCTATATGGAAGAAGCAAGCACATTGAGACGAAGTATCATTTTCTCAGAAGTCAAGTGCAGAAAGGAGTGTTAGAAGTTCTGCACTGCAGCAACTAGAAACAGCTAGCAGATCTTCTGATGAAGGCAATTAAGACATACCAATTTCTTCGCTTGAGAGATGAAATCGGTGTTGTTAGCTTCTGATAGAAAATCTAAA